CTCCTCGCCCTAAATATATATAAATCTATAAATATCTGCATATTTATGTATATACATATATTCATAATTACATATACTGTATATAAATACATACATTAATCTATCTCCCTCTTATCTCAGTTTTTTCTCTACTTCTTGTCTCGCATTATCGTCCCTATCATTAACATTCTTTATTGCTTTCCTTCTCTCCTATCACTATATTATTCCCTCCCTTCATCCATCCTTTCCCTCGATCGTTCCTCTTCCCTCTCCTTCCACTTCCTCTCCTTCTCCCTTTTCCCTCTCCCCATCTCCTCTCCTTCTCCCTCTCCCTATCTCCTCTCGTCTCCTCCCTTTTCCCTCTCCCTATCTCCTCTCCTCTCCTCCCTTTTCCCCTTTTCCCTCTCCCCGTCTCCTTCTCCCTTTTCCCTCTCCCCGTCTTCTCTCCTTCTCCCTCTCCCTATTTCCTCTCCTTCTCCCTTTTCCCTCTCCCTGTCCCATCTCCCCATCTCCTCTTCCCCGTCTCCACTTCCCTCTCCCCGTCTCCTCTCCTTCTCCCTCTTCCCTCTCCCTGTCTCCTCTTCACTCTCCCCATCTCCACTTTCCTCTCTCCGTCTCCTTTCCTTCTCCCTCTTCCTTCTCCCCGTCTCCCTCCCTTAGTCATATTCCTTTTTCTATTATCGCTCGTCACCCTTTCTCACGGCGGCATAATTCTGGACTTATTTGACACTTCCTTCAAGTCCTTCGCACATTACGTGACCCGACCGGGTTCCCTTTCCCCTCCCTTCTCCCTCCTTACCTCTCTCTTTCCCCTCCCTTCTCTCTCACTACCTCTCTCTTTCCCCTCCCTTCTCTCTCACTACCTCTCTCTTTCCCCTCCCTTCTCTCTCACTACCTCTCTCTTTCCCCTCCCTTCTCTCTCACTACCTCTCTCTTTCCCCTCCCTTCTCTCTCACTACCTCTCTCTTTCCCCTCCCTACTTCTCTCTTTCCTCTCTCTCCCTACCTCTCTTTCCCCTTACCCCTCCGTACCCCTTTCTTTCCCCTGAACTCCCTTCCCCTACCCAATCTCTTTTTCTTCCTCTCTCCTTCCCTTGTTCTTTCCCATTCCCCTCTCTTTCTCCTCCTCTCTTCCTCCCCTACCCCCCTTCTTCCCCTCTCCCAATCACCCCTGCTCCCTCTCCTCCCGCCCTTCGTTCTCTGGCCCAATGCCCTCCGCCCAATTTTGAGCCGAGTGAAGGATACTTTCCGCCCAACTTGTGAAAAGTCTTGAAACGCTGCAGAGGGTTAGCGTTGTGTGCGTGTGTATGTGAGTGTGTACTTGCATGTATATGTAAATGTATATGTGCATGTGTATATGACTGCATATGAGCGTGCGTATGCGCGTGCGTGTTCGTGTGCTTGTGCGTGTTCGTGTGCTTGTGCGTGTTCGTGTGCTTGTGCGTGTGCGTGTGCTTGTGCGTGCCCGTGTGCTTGTGCGTGCCCGTGTGCTTGTGCGTGTCCGTGTGCTTGTGCGTGTTCGTGTGCTTGTGCGTGTGCGTGTGCGGTTGCGCACCTTGCGATGAAAATGGATGGCCTGTATGATTAATGTGGCGGATGCGGTCCAAATATGTACTTAACAGTCAGCATGGTAACGACTATGAACAGAGCGGGATTCTTCTCCAATGAAACCCAGTTAACCGAGATGGCGAATGGTAATTTATCCCGCGAGTACTCTTTTTATAACCGCGGGAAAGGCGCGCTCTCCGCCGCCTGTCGCGACCGGTGCGCCACTTTTGCGTCGGTCGTAGCACTTAATGACCTCCAGAACGAGGGAAAGATCCGTGAGAAAGGAATGCCAAGCGAAGGTTATGAGTGTGGGGTTGCCTTGCACAGCGCCAGTGTGTCTGCTCCGTGCCGGGAGGAGGGATGCCCATTACGCCTAAAAATGTCACTTTTCTCCTTCTTGAACTTACATATGTGTAAACGAAGCGAACTTCTTAATGTAATACTATAAGGTCTGACTCAAGGGGTAGCAAATGTGCACACAGTTAACGGAAAAATACGTGTCACTTTTGTGAAGGTGACTTTCATGCCTCGAGTCCGGTGGAAAGATATTGGCTAAAATGATGGTAGGAACTTTCCCTTCAGGATGTTGCATAACGCCGCGGTCGACAACTAGGACGTGTTTCCTGCAAGCCACTGATCCGTCACGACCTCGCGTCAGCTGAGCTGACCTGACCAATCTGTACTTGACACTGAGCTTACAAATATCAACACGTCTTTTCAGGGAAAATTACCAGCCAGCGCGAAACAACCGGCTACATCCTCCGGCCATATCCTATACCACAATATGGATTTTCCGATCGCGGTACGAAAAATCCTTCAGCCCTCCAGCCGCATACATTATCTATTCATGGTCCTGTTCAAGAGTCCCCAGTAAACCACGCTTAACTAGAACAAGCACTAATTATCGCATAAACGGCCAAAAATCGCCACGGGAGGTTAAGCGAGAGGGGAAAAGAGCACGCGTTCTAAAAATA